AGCGTTTCGCCGTTTTTTTTTTAGATAAAGTTAATCAAAACACGCCGCTTGGTTTAGTACAACCTTTCAGGCACAGGAACCGTATTACCCGTAAATATTCGAGTCAACTTGTCTCAATGGAGTCAGCCTGCGGGGTAAACTAACGTTTGACCAACGACCTGCGTTAGCTCTTGGGCTGGTTTATGATCTGACGCGGGCTGTAGTGCTGTCTCAGTGGTCTGCCGTGCCGGTACTCCCTTGACTCCTTACCTGCCAATTCACTGATGAGGGGGAGACTTTTTGGGTGATCTGCACCCCCTGCCATGTTGCCTGGCCAAGTGTCCGCCGTCTTCTGGTTGATTCGTGGGGCTCTCGTATACAAAAAACTGCTGCCCTTGGCACACGGCCGACGCCCCTACCTACATTACATACACGAGGGAGAGGGAAAAGGTTCCCTGTAGATCGCTGCTTATCTCCCCACTCTGCCACTAAAAATCTGCCACTAAAAATCTCGCACTGAATCTCGAGGTTGGCCAGCAGAACAAAGGGATTGTTGTGAAGGGGTTGTTGCATGAAAATACAGTGGAGAAGATGCTGTGTCTTGGAGTATGTCAGCCAAACGATGTGTTTTGTTGATGCTGTTGTCAATGGGTAGCATCAGGCAAAATCCACTCTGGATGATCAAGGTAGCATTTGGAGGCGAGTTCCGTTTAATCCTTGTTTGGTAATCATAGTCGCTTGATGACAAGACGATGCCGAGAGAATGGTGGGAAAGTTACGATTGATATCCTTGCTCGACTACACGATGGCCTTGCTTGGCTGTTGAGAACTCCTTTTCCATTGAGTACTCCGTGCCTTGAGGCGCTCTTCTAACCGTCCAATACGGTATTTTCTTATTACCGATAAAGCCCATTGGAGTCTGTGCATCCCTGTTCCTGCATTCACGTACAGTATCACTCGGCTGGCGCTTGCATACAAGGTGAGTTGTTCAATTGTGAACAACAAATCTCTCCGTACATAAACGCCGGCGGTCTGGCGCAGATGCTACCATTCGGCAGATTAATTCTGCCTGCTTCTAGCGGGCGGCATTTCACAAAATAACGCCATCGCCAAATTCAATTCCACAGTAGAAATCTTATTAAGCTTCAGGGTAACAGTTGTCAACATCGTACCATGTTCCTTGTCAAGGTTCGGAGTTTGCTGCCGAGGAACAGACACCTTTTGGCAGTTGGGTCTTGGCTCCACGCGACAAGCGGAGCCGAAACCGTTTTGCCCGACAGGAATGCGGGAATCGAAGACAAATCGATCGGGTATATCCTCAGTTTCTACGGAGTAGCATTCCAAAAATCAAGGTATAAAAATGGACCGTTATTGTAACGGTCCAAGCGGCTCAAAATCCAAGATGTTGGAGAGTTTGGTGGTTCCAAGATCTTGAATGTTCGTTTGTTGATGAGGCTTTTTTATCCAATCGTTGACGTCAAGATGCTTCGTTTTTATGCAACTAAATTCATAAATACGAAGTCTTGAGTCTAAGGCTAAATGAGGGCTGCAGACTGCAGTGAAGATCTCTCTGGTGTGATGGAGGATATCGGCAATACGGGTTACGCAAAAGGGGAGAAAAGCCAAAATTCAATTGAATTTGTTCTTCGGACGTTCAGATACCGCGCTTCTTTGCCGTCAGCTGGAGGCAAGGTAAGGCTGTCGAGGTCCATCGTCCAAGCTTGAGCTGTCAATGCCCAGCTCGTAACCTTTTTTGACATTTTAATCTGGCTATTTTTACACAGGCGAAATTACAGTAAGGCAGCGGATGGGATTCGTCCCGCCGTATAGCAAACAACTTTGATATCCAACCCAAAAAACCGTATTTCTCAGTGTGACCATGTCTCGTGCGACCCAAGGATGCTGATGTGACATTCCCAATTGAGTTGCCCAGCGTCTCCACCTCCTTTTTTTCTTCTTACTCCTCCCTCCTTCTTTTCTGCTCAACACCATCTTCCCCGTATTGCAGAAGTTCCTGCATTTCATTTCATCAAAGAAATTCAAAATTGTTCTCGTTGGTTCTGGAGACTTGAGAGCTGCGATCGACAGGGGGTGGTTTCATGTGCGTAGGTCCACCGTTAAAGTGACGAATGAGGCTTGACTCTGCTGAGGTTAGCGCTCGTATTCCTCCGGTCCTCAACCACTGCCAATGTGGATAAGCGGATGGTGAGAAGCCGAGGGCTCCATTGATGACTCGGCCGAACCATAAATATGGCTATACGAGCCTGCTTTTTGGTCTTGAAATTACTTGCTTTGTTTGCTCACCACTCGAGACTATGACGTGAGATTTTATGTGTGAAGTTTGAGCTGGCCGATGGTGAATGATGTGATTTTGTTCTGTTCCGTGAGTGGACAACCCATGCTTGGATGACTGATGAGTAAGTTGCTCTCTTACCTTCTTCTTCACCAAACTCATCAGAACTTCACAACGTCTGTCTTCTGGACACAGTTGGAATAATTAGGAGCCATTTGTCAAGAGATTCAATGAGATTAAGATAAGAACGAATGTAATTGAGTCGATAAGGCAGCTCCAATCAAATAAAGTCAGGTGAGTTGTCGCGCATAAAGCTGTCGAAGCAAGATAAACCCAGAGCCTCATAGTATTGTACCTGGGCAAATGATGCTCATGAATTGGTAAATCTTTATAAGCAACTTAGCAAGGTCTTCCGTTATTGCGCGTTCTTCACTGGAGTTTCATAATAAAAGAGCACATTGCCAGCTGTCTTGATCTGAGCTCAACAGCCATGATATATGTATGAGAGAGATTCGAAAGGAGTCAATCGCGCATGCTTAGCTTTTTCACATGTTAGATCCAAACGATGTTTATCCGTACCGCAACTATTTGATTTGCCTCTGACATCTCATTTTTCGAGTATTAGCTCGCTGCCAAAACAGTCCTGAAGATAGTCCGAGTGATTAGGAGCAAGTCTAGGGTAAGTTTTAGCAGTTTTGTAATACTGTATTTATAGACTTCACTATTGAAACACAATGTTTAGTCTCATATTTGTATACTGTGTAAGAATAGATTTATTATTTCCTGTCTGCTTTACATATTTAGAACTAGACTGCAGTCTGCCCTGATAACGTGACAACATTGAGCCACTCTCAGTGTGACTGTGGCGTCTATAAAGTTTCAATCACCTCGATTCTGAGCCACAAACTCGCCTTGTGCAATCTATTTCTCATATTTGATATGCCACAGGTCACTGGCATTGTCCTGTTATAAGAGTCCAACTGCTTCTTCATCTTACGGGTTCCTGAGTAAGAGTAGCTGGCCACCAACCAAGTCTGACACGAACTGACAGTTAGTATCCTGAGAAACGGCTCGGGAGAGTATGCAGAGAACATCTTCTTGGCATTTTTAATGGTCACGAGCACGCTGATATACGTTGCTCTAGGGTTATGAGCATTGCCCCACGAATTATCGGCGCTGGACTGGCTGGAGGTCTGGAACTATCAAATCTATGCCAAGAGTCTGCTTATCCAGACGTGCCTGATTCCAACGGGCATCCACCGATTTACGTTTTCTTAAACAAGTCTGTGCATCTGAGCACTCAACCAACAAAGCCCCGTAAACCAATCGTCAAGATCGAAATCCACGGTCCCGACGATCAAGTTATCAGATATCTCTTGGGTCTACCTCCTGGTAAACGACTCGTCACATCGCCCCCGCACCGTGGCGTCGACAATAGCTTTTAGTTCCTGGGCGCAGACAAATTCCTCTTTCCAGCGTCGCACAAGGACGTTAAGCCAAGGGCCTTGTTTGCCCTGACAATAGCTGTGGCTGGTGTCTAGAGAAAATGCGGATAAGATCGCCTATTGTCAGATCGTGGTGGGATACCTGAATTCCAATTTTGCTTTGGGCTGCTTTCCGTGGTGTTGGGAACCAATCATATTCAGTGATCGTCCCTGGGGAAGTTGGGGATGGTTACACTGCTTAAGGCAAACATTGGTCTTAGCTTGTGAGGCTGAAGATTGTCACATCTACGAGTAGCAAGAAAATTACAAGATATATCTAATTTAGCTGCTTCACGGCCAGAAAAGAATATAAGAAGAAGATAACCAGTGGTGACCATGAGGTCTGTCATGATGGTTCCTGGCCGAGACGCCCAGGAATGCACCCCATTCTCACCTTCAGCCCTAGCGTAACACCTCCACCAACGTCAATGTCTCAGCATAACCAGGTATTCGGCACGCTCCCCATCGGAATTCCCGATCCGCTCTAGACCCGACATATTGGATGGTTGTACCTGTGCTACGATTCACAGCACCAGATGCAAGCCACTGCCGAAGTGCCACAAAGTATCCTTGGGGTTGCACAGCATGCTTATAACGCTGTGCGACCCTCCCTCTCCGGTCTTTGTTCTCCGTTTTGTGTGTTTTGTTGACTGAATTTTTACCATGGCGCTCAGCAGGCGGTATCTCATCTCGGGGACGATATGCCTGCTGTACGGTACGGCGAGGGCTCAGGCTCCTGAATCTATGCTCGCGAATGCACCGAAATGTGCTGTTAGTACTACGGATGTTATTTGTTGATGGGTTTATCGCTGACGGGTAGCAGATCGAGTGTCTAACCGAGCTTCTAAGCAACAAGGAATATGCAGAGTTGGGACAAGAGGCGATGTGTAGTAGCAAGCCGTTTGCCAAGGCGATGGGTATTTGCTTGATGGTGAAGTGCTCTATGAGACAGACCATTGGTGCGTGGTTCCAAGAAGCATGGGCTCAGGGTTGCTAACTTTTAGAAAGACTTCATCAAAGAGTCGTCGGCTGCATGCGGGATCCCGCCGACCAACTATACAACGTCGTATCGAGTCAACAGTACCGTCGTCTTTACGTTTGCGCTCGTCTTCTTTGCCTTGAGGATAGTAACGAAATTCCGGCTTGGCCTTACATGGGGGATTGACGATACCCTGATATCTTTATCGGTGGTAGGTTTGTTTTATCTTGTGATGCTGGATGAGTGCTTACAGGCGTAGGCCGTTATGATTCCGTACTATATCGTGCTGCAAGTCAGTAAGTACTTTTTGTGCCCCTATCTTGAGAGCTAGTTTGTTGACTTGAATCTTTCAGTGCTTGCGTTGGGACTTGGTCTTGACATGTGGTATATAACCGATAAGCAGATCATACTGATCTTCAAAGTTAGACTGAGACATGATCGCTGAAACTTGACGGCCAAACTAATATCGCTCTCAGTTATTCATCGTCATCGAAGTTCTGTACTTGACAGCACTAGTCCTCGTCAAAGCAGCCATCCTATGCTTCTTCCTCCGAATCTTCCCCGACCACAAATTCAGAATTGTAGTCAAGTGCACCATGGTCTTCAACGCTCTGATCTGGGTAGGATTCTTCATCTTTGTCTTCTTCCAGACCCAGCCATTCTCACTATTCTGGAACGGGTGGCAGCAGAAGAAGGGGCATCTTATTCTGACGGGGTTCACTAATTTCACTCTGCCGCTTGCGGGGATAAATCTGGTGCTGGATATCTGGATGCTCATTCTGCCCATGACGCAGCTCTGGGGGATGGGGTTGAAGTTGAAGAAGAAACTCGGTGTGATTAGCATGTTCAGCGTTGGGATATTGTAAGTGTTGCTCGGATGCATATGATTTATTGCTAACAGTATAGTCTTACAATTGTCGCTGCGATTCGAGTTCGCGAACTTGTAGCTTTTCTACTTTCTCAGGACTTGACGGGTAAATTCTTCCAGCCAATTGTTCAGCACGAGCTAACATGTTGACCAGTCGCACACGCACAATCAGCCTTCATCTGTTCAAACGTGGAGATATCGGTCGGCGTCATGGTTGCTTGCATGCCGCACATTCGGCATCTAGTGAGGCATATAATATCGCGATACAGAGCAAGGAAGGGCACCGAGCCGCGACAAAACAGCAGAAAAATATTCGTCGATCGATCGCTTGCAACTATTACGGTGGGAGACTCGCAGGCCATTGAACTGAACGATGAAGGCGGACTCTTGACGGCGAATACTTGTACGACGGCTTCATCTGCGACAAGAGTTGGGACAACATCATCGACAAAAGGCGGGAGAAAAGACAGCAAGTCGTATGCGACGGTCAGTTTTACAAGCGATGGAGATATCCAAGTGTAAGATAAGTATAGTAATGATTCGCTGTAAGATATTAAGAATGGGATTGACATGAATCGAGATGTAGTCATCGAGATGACAGCCGTGATCGACTAGACTAGCAGGCATCGTGAAGTGTCAAGTGGGTTCTTCACGTCGGTGAATTTTCTAGCGCCATCTGATAAGGCCGTTCGTTACTCGCTACTGCAAGCACATGCACGCCAGGAACAGATCCACAGTTGATTGATAATTGTGTCATTTATTAAATGTTTCTTCCTTTATTTATTTTGTTTGGTATCGTCAACATCATTAAGATATATGAGCCATTTATCGGCAAGTGTATCCACCGTCAATGACAAGGTCAGAGCCAGTAGTGTAAGTGCTAGCATCAGACAAGAAGTACACATACGCAGCCTTGAGCTCCTTGGCATCGCCGTTGCGGCCCATGGGGATCATGCTCCTCCAGAGCTCCTGGGTCTCAGCGTCGATGAAGTCGGAGAGGCCAGTGTCGATGTATCCGGGGGAGATGCTGTTGACACGGGCGAAATCGCGCCACTCGTTGGCGAGAGATCGCGCCATGTGGATGCAGCCGGCCTTGGCCACGTTGTAAGAGGTCTGCTCTTGGGGGAAGTTGGCGATGTGGCCGGACATGGAGGCGGTGATGACGAAGGAGCCGTGGCCCTGCTTCTTGAAGAGGGCGCCGACGGCCTTGGCGCAGTAGGCGGTGCCGTTGAGGTCGATCTGGATAACGTGGTCCCAGTCGGCAGCAGAGCCGTCGACGACACCAGCGTTGGCGGTAGCACCGGCGCTGGACAAGTTAGCACGAGCTCAATTGACTAGGTATGTATGTATAGAATGGGGTACTTACTTGGCAACAAAGCCATCAATCTTGCCAAAGTCCTTGACAACCTCTCCGACAAATCGCTCAACGTCGTTGTAGTCGGCAGCATTGAGCTTGTAGGCCTTGGCCTTGACGCCGTACTCCTTGGTGAGCTCCTCGACGTTCTTGTCGGCGCCCTCCTTGCGGGAAGCGTAGGTGATGGCGACGTCGGCGCCCATCTCAGCAGCGCCGCGGGCAGCCTCGATGCCCATGCCGCGGGGTCCGGAGGCGCCGGTGACGACGACGACCTTGCCCTTGAGGCTGAGGAGGTCGAGGATGTGGTTGGCCTTGGGGATTTGCTGAACCATTGTGACGGTGATAAGTGTGTTGGGTATTAAAAAAAATAGAAGAGGGATAGATGGATGGAGGGGAAGAGGGGAAATGGGATGGGAGGATGCTAGACTATTTGTACGGCATTGAGTGTCTACTCAGATCATGGCGTGGTCCCGAAAATAAAAGCAGCAAGCCCCCAAGGAGCTGAGCTGTAGCTAATGGATGGAGGGGCATGGGTCCAGTGATGTCATGGAAGCAGAGAGACCATGCAGTGCGAGAGTGCTTCTCGAGCTACAATACGCTAGAGACACCAAGAACGAGGGGCATCGGCGATTACAAAGAGAAGAGTATCCACTATCAGACTCTCAATGGGTTGTAGCCCCTCCATTGTCGCTGCAACCGTGTTGGAAAAGACGCGTCGAGGGGTAACAGAGTCAAAGTCTGTTGGGCTGAGCACATGCTTAGTTAGGCAGAGGACAAGTCTCGGTGGGACAGACGCATGAACCCCCATGTGAACTGTCTTGTGTGATGATTTTTTAAACCAATTGGACTTTGTCTTCACTGGTGAGACGTGGACGTACATACACAGCGAGGCGGGGTGAATACCAACCCCTCTGGAGAGTAATAACAGTCAATTGCAACAGCAACTGAATCAGTAGACGGATTCTTTCATCATTGATCCATAATTGAATCTTATATCTTGCCAAATACCACCGAGAATAGAGTCGGATGGAGTTGAGAGTGGATAAACCGAGCGTCATTCTCCCGTCTCAAGCTCCCCTCTCTCCCTCTTCCTTGCTTAGAGCGAGCACCCCCGCAGAACGCCCGGCTTCACCGCTCCCCATCCGGTTTAGCTTGAGAGGACAGTACCTTGTTGGATTGGCTGAGCACGCGTCAACGTGTTCCGTGTCAGGCGATTAAATTGCACCCGGTCCGACAGAGAAAAGCTACCCTAGATTGAAATCGCGATGATGAGTTAGCATCACCAAATGCTGACTTAACAAAGACAAGAGGGATAAATAATACTGAGTAATGCTTATCGCGTATCATCAATACTAGAGTCATCAATTTTGACCGTTGTTGATTGTTCATGTAATGCTTATCACACCGAGACGGAGAATGGAAAATGTTGGAAATGAGGGGTTGCAGAATACATGAAGCCACTTGTTGAGAACATCACCCAAACAACATTCAATTGGACATGCAGAGCATCATACAAAAATGTGTCTTATTTACATTGAGTCTAATATAACCCTTGATGCATGCGCATGCACGTATGCCCAGACGTGCCCAGACGTCGCCGCTTTTAAATGAGGTATCGGAAATCCCGCTTCATCCTCAAAGCCTCGTCGGGGCTGTCCATGACCTCGACGGCCGCCGTATGCGCAGCCACATCCCGGCGCGTCTCCCAAGCGGCCTCTCCCCTCTCGAGCTTCTTGTTGAGGTCGATCAGCACCAGCCTGAAGATGTAGCACCCCACCACCGTGACGCCAAACATGGACAGCACGATGCCGTAGCTCTTGCGGTACCCGTTCTCCTTGAGGTCCCAGACGTACGAGCCCGCGACGTTGCCCAGCTGGCTGAAGGCGTTGATCATGGCGATGGCGACGGCGCGCTTGGCGGGTGGTCGGGGGAAGGAGGAGCTGATCCACGAGTAGAAGACGATGAAGCCCGCGTAGGATGCTGCTTGGAGGAAGAGGGCGAGGTAGCGCGCTGCGACGTTCTCGGTCGCCATGCTGATGATGAAGCCGGTTGTGCCGATGCCGATTGGGCCGACGATGTGCCAGAACTGAGTTGTTGTTAGTATAATTGCGCGACGTGATGGGCGATTGAACTGACCTTTTCTTGGGTTCTGTCCGAGTGCCAGGCATTGATGACCGACACGATACAAGAGAACACCCACGGAGGAGCGCTCATAAGCAGAGTAGGCACGTATCCAAAGCCAAGAGTCTCTGTCAAACTGGGCTGTTCAATTGTTAGCGACGCGCATGCGATGGACACCAATTGACTTACGAAGAAAGCATTGAACGAAAGACCAACGACATAAGCAGCAAAGGTCAGCATCATGATGTAGATCTTGAGATCCTTGACCGCAAGCTTAAGACCGTAGAAAGCGCTCTCCTCAGCAGAATCCTCATCTGCCTCGCCGACATCCTCAATCATACGCAACTGCGCAACCTGTCGCTCCTCCTCCGTAAAGCCCCGCGAGTTATGCGGCAGATCGGGAAGAATAAACGCAGCAGAGATAGCGATGCTCATTGTGATTGCGCCCTCGATCCAGAACAGCCAGCGCCATGCTGCGTGGCCCAGAACGCCCTGCATGTTGGACAGCACGCCTGCGCCGACGAGCGCGGAGAAGGCGTTGGAGATGAGGTTGCCGCAGAACAAGATGGCATTGCGCTTGGTCAATTCCCGACGCGTGTACCACTTTGACAGAATCAACAGAGCACCAGGTAAGAATGCAGCTTCCACGAAACCAAGGAAGAACCGAATGCAGACCATGCCAGCGAAATTGTGCACACTGCCCGACAGCGTGGAGATGAGACCCCAGAGCAACATGGCCGCAGAGATGTACAGCGACGGGCGCTGGATGCGGTTGATGAACATGTTGGAGGGCACCTGCATGAGGATATACCCGACGTACAGGATGCTCAGGCATGTCGCGTACTGGTTGTAGCTGAGGTTCAGGTCCTCCTGCAGGCCCTTGAGGCGCGCGGCGGCCATGTTGTTGCGGTCGAGGTAGTTCATGATGTAGATGAGCACGAAGAGCGCGCAGCGCGTGTCGAGCTTGCGCTTCATGCTCTTCTCGACGGCCTGGCGGTGCTGCGAGTCCATGGCCAAGGCGGCGGCGGCGGTGCGGGATTCGGGGTGCGACTCGACGCTGAGCTTGGCCGAGGCGACGTGGTCGTCTGGCTTTGCGTGGTCTGCCATGATGATGACGAGACTTGGGTGGGTGTAGGTAGCTAGAAGGGAAGAAGAACAGTGAGCTACCAGTCTCACGCAAACGACAACACCTGAGAGGGGAGGAGACTGACCTATCTGGGCATGATGAACCTTTTTAAGAAATGAACGGCTGGCAAAATACCGGCTGAGTGTGACACGGGTTACATCATCGAGCAGCAAGTATGGTGTAGCGCGGAGAAGAGGGAGTTGAGTGCTGAGAGTATGGAGAATATGGGGAAGAGGTAAGGGTTTATCCGCGTGGGTTTAAGCCTGATTAGGCGACTATCACGGGTTCCCCAGAGGTTGACAGTCGCCCTCGCTTGAGGCAGGATTTTCTGGTTGCAAATTTGAGTGTCACACTGGATGTGCAAGGACCCAATGGTTTGTGATGGTGGAGTTGGGAGTGTAGATCTTTGCTTTTTGGAGAGGAGACGGAAGGGGAACAGAAAAGGGTGATAGAGATGGGCACTCAGGGGACAGCGATA